CTGAATGTAAGACCAGTATTCACTCTCCTCCTAGCTCCGACTTGGTCTCCACCAACTCCTGAGTAAAATGTCTGGCTCATTAGTTGCCAGTGGTTCCACTGTGTTCACCAGCTAGCCATTAACTTTGTGTGTCTGCTGTTTGCTGCTGGAAACAAGGTTGATGTAAGACTTAGAACAGCCACACTGCAACACTAAAATCAAAACAAACAGCTGAAAACCACTAAAACACTCCCTGATCATGGGAACTGCAGAATCAGGCGATACTTCTCTGCGAGTTCACCAGAACTGACCTGTTTCATATTACGCCAAATAAATCATTTCAATTACTGCTATAAATACATTGATTAGTGGAGCTTTAAGGGCATATTTTCAGTTTATGTAATCAGTTATTTTTTGGAGGAAGATGTTTTTTATTGGCATCAAGGTCTGTCTGATATGTCATCATGGGCAACACTACTGGGCCATCTTAGCCTCTCAACTATATTGGTATTGGCATAGACTGTATGTATGGTGATACTGTAGTACAGTTATGCCAGAAATTGGTTTGACATTATTTAGAAACAGAGTCACTATCACATATTTTGGCCACCAAAGTGTAAAATGTACTAGGGATATAACGATACGATATTGCCCTGATACAAAGTCCACAATACGATATTTATCACGATATTAAAAAATTTTAAAAGCCTCTTATTAAATAATAAAGCAGCAGGTTTTTGTATGATTATAACTTAAAGTGCCCCTGCTTTCCTTTTTTATTAAAATATATAATAAAAGTAGCCTGGCATGAATTGTCATTGCCACTGAATGACTGATCTGTCTGTACAGCTGCTAAAAAAAAAAAGGCAGCTGGATCTTGTATAGTGATACATCAGTGCGTTAGTGACCCAAAGCCACTTTAAATTTCTCTGGTGATCATGCCGACCGGTGGTCGGGTCCTGGAGCAATCGAAATGGGAATCCCCCACAACCACCAGGGGCAGTAGTGAGAAAGCCGCTGCTTGGCAAACCAGAACAAGGAGAAGGAGACATCAAACTACACCAGGACAATCCACATAAAAGTTAGATTTGTGCTTTACTGGAGGTGTTTTTCAAACACTGTGGCTTCCTTTATCAAAAGAAAATATTGGTAGTTACTAAGTGGTTGGTTTTGCTTTTGTACATCCTGTTTGCACATCAGTTAAATTGTTGTGTCCCGATTAAATGGTGACAGTATTGCCTTCATCCAGCTGTTTGTCAGCTTCCTTTCCACCTGTCATTTCTTACAACAGGAAAACTGAAATGCTGCAACACAACAGCTCTAAAAGGTGACGACAGAGCATCCACCATGTCAGTATCAAATTCTGTGACCTGAATGCAGTTGTACTAATAAAATAATCATATGTAATATGCTTGCAGATGCCATCACCATCTGACAACATTATCAAGAAATTTTTCTAGCGTAATATTGCAAAATTACAAATATCATTAAATCCCTAATCAGTACATATCTTGGTCAAAGTTCTTTAATAGCTAACATATCATTATTCCACTTGTTTTATTCTGAAATGTCAATTGGTCTCAAAAGCCATTAGCTGTCACTCCTAGTGGTTTGTCAAGCAACTTAAAATTCTCTGCTGCTGAAGTTTAAGTGACTTGCTGAAACCACTGGTAGCCAGTAATGTAACCAGTAATGCAAACTGTTTTTTCTTTCTTTTGCTGAAAGATGAGGACATTTTTATGCAATGACTTGGCCATTGGCTGTTTCATACTCTTCTATACAGCCCTACAACCCCTGTGTGGTGAAGACATAGAGATGACATTACTCATTAGCACCTACTGTAATATGAAGGTAGTGTCTGTTCTGACATATAGCACCTTCATCTCTTCAATGGAGAGCACCTTATGGGCAGTACTAGTGTTTTTGCATGTTTTAGCCAATTAATTAATTACAAATCATATATACTTGTTAAAAGTAAAGTCTGAACTGTATTTCAATTTAATAATAACTCTGAACACAATACAAAAAGACATGATGTTTCCTTTCAAGCAAGGTTCAGGTTCATGCCTTACAAAAAGGCGGCTTCCAAAAATGTACAAAGAAACATTAAGTAATCCAAAACACCATCTTTTATTGAGAAATAGTCAGCAGACATGTAAAGTATACTGTATGTGATTTGTAGCAAAAGGGCTAAAACGTGCTAAAGTACCAGTGTAGTCCTTTAGGATGTTACTGCTCGTCCTGCGTCGCTGTCTCTGTAACTTGGACACTGTCTCTGTCAGTGCAGGTAATCTACAGCAGATGGTTGATCAGTGACTCCCTGCTAAATGACAGCCGTGACTTTCAGCTCCAGTCATAAGTGCTCAGTTCAGTGTAAAACAACACAAAGGCATCCATCTCACACCGTGTGTCAACACTTCAAAAACTAAATGACTTCAAGGTCTGAAGGAAAAACAACTCGGTGTGTTTTATAAATCATTTTAGAAAATAATAATAGATGCCAAAATAAATTTGACAATTACTGGCTGAGGGGAAACTTTTCAAATAAACAGGTTTATGGTAAGTCATATCACTTGGCAGTTGATCATCATGATCACTCCTGGATTGTCCCAGAAGGTGGCATATTTATTAGGGTGCAACAGATGGGGAGCATGCATTTTCCTTGCTAAGGCCTGGGAAATTGGTCTTTTGGTAGCAGTATAAATATGATGAACTGTAGCCTATAACAGGCACTGGATCCCACACAAGGACAAAACGTCCAAATGAGCAGCAAAAGTCGTGTTGTAGCTGCTTTACAGCGGTGCCATCAATGATTGATCTACACCCCGCTGAGCCACTACAGGAAACAAAGTATAGAGCCTATAATTTAGCTGGGAAACAATGCATGAGACCATCAGCTTGTGCATCCATTTCAGCACAAGCAGTCCCTAGTGCAGATAGATCATTAAACTACCAGGCGCTTTGCAATATGGTGTAGTCAATGTCAGTGAAAAGATGGGACAATAAAGTGAGGTAGGGGATTGCAACAGCAGGAAGAGAGCATGGAGATGTATTAATGTCACACAGGCTTTAGCTTGCCTCCTTAAGCCCTGCGAAGAGTCACCCAAGCCAATTTCCATTATCATATTGATTGAAATAGTTCATCATAGTGTAATTTTAGGTTTATCGCCACCCGGTTGGGAATAAGACCAAAGCATTATCCAACAAAAGCTATTGTTCCAGGGGACGTTTCGCTGTTCCAGTTCATTGATGGAGTTGATTAAGTTTAAATGAAGCAGACACTGGATAAAAGTGAGGGTATTGACCAGCGAGCGGTGTGCCGTGCTTGAAAAAGCCTGATACATGCGGAAAAGCAAGATTTGCTAAATGCTCTAATCTTCAATCAAATCTAACATCAATACAGACAAAGTTTGGTAATGAGAGATTCAATGAAGCATGCAGCAGAGAGAATTAATCCCGCTCGCCTAAACTGAGTTCAACTTTGATGCTTGGTCCTCAGGACAGATAGTTATCTAAATGCTAAATAAGAAACGTATTGTACTTTTCACAGCATACTAATCATTTGTTCATTTTGCCTCCATTATTTCTTCTCTCACACTTGGCGGCTGTTGATCTGGTGATTAGATCAACCTTGGATAGTGGAGGAGAATGGAATAGTGAGGAGCCCGTAATGTTCAGGCCTGTGGGGACGCTGCCACGTCTACTGTTACAGTTCACAGAGTGGGAAATTGGTCAGAAGAAGAAGAAGAGCATGTAAAGTGTAGTATAAAGAATACTTCACATTAGTCCTCAGGTTATGAGATTATTCTGAATATTTAAAGAGCTTTATTATGGTTTACTTGGTCACTCATCATTTTGTTTTTAGAAATTTAACATTTATGTGCTTGATATTCTCTAATGTACAACAGCAGACCTGTGGTACTCAGCCTTTTTGGCTTGTAGCCACTTAAAAATCCAGACTCAGCGCTCCCACTTAATAAATAAATAAATAGCCAAGTAATTTTGTGTAGCAGAAATAGGCTTTTCGCACTATATTTAATCGTCTTATGACCTTTCAAACTTACCTTGAGACCTGTTTCTCCACCCCAGGGTTGGGAAGACTGAACCAGACCAGAAGGCCACGCAGGAGTATCTGGAATTGTATGACTCAGAGTGAACACCTGGTGCTGAGACTGACGGTGTGTTGTGTATCACTGTTTCAGACTATGCCTCCTCAGGTTTCGTGGGCTTGGTGTAAAGTCAGGAATGCAACTGAGAGTTTCTTTACTTTCAGTCAGTCCGATCGAGGCTCCCATCGATGTCCACATGAATAAACCCATCAAAGAAATCAACGCAAACTCACTGCATTCTTAAATATTTGCAAGCAGCTTTCTCATAACGTGACGGAACAAACTTTGCAAACTACGGCTGTATTCTCCTAAACACCGCGCTCCGGTACGAAGCCTACCTGCGTTTCCTGGATTTACATGAGGGCATGACCAGGGGTCACGTGACTTTTTAAACAGCGATAATATCAAGGTTTAAAATCCAAAAAGCATTCAACGTTTCTTCAAATTAGGTGATATGAAACTAGAAAATGATTTAGCATTTAGGTTTTTGATGCTGTGCGTCACCTCCACAAACAAGAAGCAAACCTGACATTGTTGCAAATTTTAATTTGAAATGTATGGCAATATAACCTGAAAACTGTCGACGTTTAATATTGTGTACATAATTAATTAATACAAAAACATTTCTATAATAAGTTAAATCCACTCCACTTGATGAACACACAACCCGCACTATAAATGAAATTCAGATATTTATAAAGTCATACAGATTATTGACAAATCTCATAAATATTTTAGCGTTTATTGCCAATTCGTCTGGAGCCTGTGCCGGTGCCGGTGCACAGGTCCAGCGGCGCCGAGGTGCAGCTGCTGCGGGCCTGCTGAGGGAGCGGCATCCTGGGAGGAGGGCGGAGGCTGTGCGCGCTGCTGCTGACTGCAGCCTGCTAAACCACATAACAGGTGACAGCTCCATGCACTTAACGAAAATGTTACACGTGCCTTGCGAGGTCGGATTTGTTTCTGCTTTAGAAAGCGAATTCGTGCTGGCTACGCCCAAACACTGTGCCCCAGCGTGCATGAAGAGAGACCTTTTGAGGTTGAATCTAGAAATAAAAATGTTCTTATCTTGTGTCAGATCCCTCAGATTCACGTTTATCACATTTTAGATTCTTTTGTATTATTTCCGTCTTATTCGTGTCTAAATAAGGCTCTTAGTGCCACTTGCCACCCTTTCGGTCTAAGGCGGGCCACAGCTGGTGCTGTGTACTGACTTCCATATATTCTCAGATGCCACCTCATTATTTGCATTTACCTTTTGCAGAATGACGGTAAGTCTGAGTGGATTTTTCAAGCCTCTTGTTTTCATTGTTGAGATTTGAGCTGTGGGACATGAAGTGAGCTGTGTGTTGTCAGAATCCAATCTAATCTGCATCTTTGTTTCCTAAACAGGGCATGTTCGCGTATCCCACCTTCCTTCTCTGCACATCGACAGGAGATGCAGCCCAGGAGAAGTGCATTAAAACAAACTCTCGCTCTCAAAGGTGTGCGCGGCTTTGTACAGGCGCGTTTTGCCTGTTAGCTGCACATCCTATGTCTTTTCATCTGTCAGTTATTCCCCCTCATGTTTTGTCATTTGTTCTGTCTTTTCATTTGTCGCCTGGTGTTTTTTTTTTCGGTGCTTGCATACACCCGCGGTTGTAATTAAATTTATTCCTCAAATGCAACAAAAGAATTTGTTCTGAGATTTGTTTGATTAGTGATGTAATGTTGACACAGTCTGTGCACCTCCTGCAGACTTGTGCGTCCTAGGAGCAAAGCGAGGATGTGCGCCTTCAGTAGCCACAGCAGATTGATAAACACGGAGAGGAATCACATGCAAAAGGGGCCATGTGTTGGATCAGTGTTTGGTGCTCACTGTCACATGCAGGCTGCAAAAGGTCCGTGAGGTACAGTTGATTCCACGAGATCTAAAAACGTGGCAATAAACTGAAGGAAAATGGCTCAGACAGCTTGAATATGTGCAACGAATTAAAAAGTAAAAGAAAGATTGTGCAGTGTTTGGGATCCATTCTTTTACTCTGTTAAATTACTGCCTTAACTTCCCGTTGTTATTTAATTTTAGCTCATTTATTTTATTATTATTTACACACTTCTAGCTACTGTATGTGGCTCCTGGCTCTCAGAACGAAACAAGCAGCGCCCCCTGCTGTCCCATAATGAAACCTCACAGTGGCACCGGCACACACAGTTAAAGCTCATGGGCCCAGTGGTAAGTAAACAGTTTTAAATCCCATAGAGCAGTTTCACACTCTTGTAAACGATTACTGAGATACACTCATAAGTGTAAATATTCACCTTCTGTGAGACTGATTTCAGAGCACACAATCATTTGTTTTGTTTTGTTTTTATTAATTGAATGTGGCACAAAGACTGACGAGAATCTGTGAGGATGGAAGTCTATATTTAAGGGGAAAGTGCGGACGTAATAAGAAGGATCACTACGCGCACTTCCGCCCAAAAATAGACACCTTAAGATATGGATTTTCTTTCTCTCTCTCTCTCTCTCTTTCTTCACAATTTATTCCTTGGCTATTCCCAAAAAGCTGCCAGACTCGACATTTCTGGCTCATATTCTACATTTCACCCTTCATCCTAATCAAAACCCTCTGCCTCGTACACGGCTTGTCAAGCCTCCAGTTTAGTGATGCAAAAAAAAAAAAAAAAAAAAAAAAGGAGCAGCCTGAGCCCGGCGGGATGCAGGGCAGCTGCTCCCTGACCAGTTCCCCCGTCACACGCACTGCAGCCCCACTTCCAAGGGCATTTGGTTGGCTGGTAATTAATAGGAAATAATGATGTTGCCGAAAGTGCGGCATCACTACCGCGGTTGGCAAGACATGGGCATCTTCTTATTGTACATGACAAACTGATGCTGATGAAGCTGCTTTGATTTCTACAGTGGCTGTGATGGAGGCACCTCAGCTGAATTAACATGCAAAGGGAGTCATTTCTTTGTGCAGTTTATTTAGATGATAGCATTTGGGACATTATTTATTTATTATCAGTAAAATCAATTCATCGGCCTTGCCACTATGTATATCAGCTAGAATAATTCTTACATTTTTTTAGAGTCATACAATGGAATATGAGTCTTATCGTCTCAAAAACACACAGCAGACTCTTGTCTTTCCAGAAAACCCTTCTGACTTGAGGAATGACACCATATACTGTAAGCGTAGCCTGGTGTAATCGCGCCATAACGCACTTGTCTGCCCAATTAGTCGAAACAATTATTGCAACTTTGACTTTAATTACGTCTCAATTTGTAGCCCAGCGCTGGTCTATAATTCAGTGATTAAAACCCTCTTTGCCCCAGCGCCTTTGGGGCAGAGCATGATTAGGACCTGTCAGCTGCTGGAGTGAACGGAGCCAGCCATGCGTGATGTGCAACATGACCCGCTGTTGTTAAACCTTGTCACCGTATTAACCTGAATTCCCCAGTCATTATAGACTGAATATTGCCTACAAGGAGAAAAAAATGTACACATATGTATGTAATTGAACACAAAAAGTAGGGTAGTGTTTTTTTCTTCAAGCACATTAACAAAGATGAGGCCATAATGTCCCAAAGCCAGGTTCAGAAAAAAGCTTAAATGAAAATGATGTGTAAGCTGCAGATACATGCTGAAATAGGCCTCCTGCTGGTAGCCTATATAACGGATCGTAAAGGTAACATGCTGCGAGTTAAAAGTGTTAAGTATTAATATGGGTCTAACATGTTAGTAAAAGTCATCTCAAAAACCACAAACCATCTGATCATTATCCAAACAAAAGTAAAGAGGTTCGGCATGGGGAGACAGCCTGCATTGGGACGGCCAAAAGGTTCGTCTGAAGCGCATTTCATTCTTGTCAAAGTATATTGATTCCTATTCTTTCAAGAGACAGTTGATGTCTTCCTTAATTCTTTGACTGGCCATCTGGACTGACTCATCCGACTCTTGTTTTCTACTCAAAGATTCACGATTCCTCTATTGTCATTTCCACGCCGTGCGCAATAAGAAACTAAATCTGAATCTCACCGTCCATCACAGACAACTAAAAGAAAGAATAACCATTTAAAAATAAGTGAGACATCATTTTTAAAAGATATTTTAAAATTGGTTAAAATGACAGCCTTATATAAACAAATTAATAAATAAATAGTAAATAAATAAATCGCCTCAGTCCTACTGAAGTTCTTTATATGGTGGCAGAAAAAAGGTGGGGGGGGGGGGCGTTTTTTCGTTTTTTAAATTTCAACTAAGTCGATTAATGAGTATAAAATAATCATTTCCAATAAAATAAAAAAGAGAACATCTATCCTTTTCTTGCAAATATATATATATATACACACACACATACACAGTATAGGTATATGTGGTATATGTGTGTGTGTGTGCACTGTAGTCAGTCAATAATACACAATTAAAAGTGCTGAAGAATGGAAGCTCAATACACAAGTTAATTGATGTTAACCCATTACCTGGCCCCAAAAGGTGGAGCGTCAGGCCAAGGTGTCATAAATCTTCAGAGCCCCACAATAAGCAACATCACTTTCCAGACCTAACCTAATCTTCATACAAAGCATTCGTGAATGCTATCCTCACCCTGAGCAGATATGTGGCGTGACACGCAGCATCTGCATTGTATTCACTCATAGTGGCTGAACCAACTGGCATGTAATGTAAATATTCTGATGCATGTTACACAATATATAGAATTTTGCATGAGTTTGAGGCAGTGGGCAGGCAATGGATGCAGCCCTGGGTTTATGAATTTCCCTTCGGCCAAAATCAGTGCAACCGACTTTCCTTTGGTGTATCCAGAGGTGAATAATTTATGGGAGGATAAAAGCATCGATGGTAGTGAGCTAGAGTCAGACAGTAGAAGGAGGCTGGCTGGGAATCCCCCCTCCCATCTCACCCCTTCGCCCCACCCCAACCGAGCTCGCCCCTCGCCGCGTGGTGGTCTTGCACTATACCTCATCGGACGGCTGCTTGAAGTGCAAATCTGTGTTCCAACTTGTTCCCGGTGCCTGTCAGCATGTTTTCCTCTTGTCGGCAGTGACTGAGTGTGGGCCTGTGTCACCCTTGTACTACCGCTGTAACAGGATCATTGACAGGCCAGTGACACTGCCCAACCAGATAATGGAAACCTATTGATTTTTCTTTTTTTCTTCTTCCTCCTCTTTTTCCTTTTTTCACACAGGCAGTGTGCGGTGAATAACTGGCCAAAGGACAGGTCATGATCAATGGTCCTGATCTTTGGATCATGCCTGCCACAGACAGTGAATGACAAAAACAGCAGACTACCAGAGAAAAAAGTCCTGTCAGCTATAGCACGCTTCCTCCTGATGCAGCAACATGCACTGTAAAATAGATAAACAGTTAACTTGAGATGAAATAGTTTAAAATATATTTAAAACCAAATAATTCAAGGTTTTCTCCTTCTTTCCATTTTAAATTGTTCAATCGTAGCAAATGTTACTTCTGAATTAAATGCAGATATGCTGTTGTTGTTCTGTTGTGTATACAGGGGTTGGCATTAAAGGTTTTAATGGAGCAGTCTCCAGAGAGGAGCCCCTTTGATACCCATGGCAATGATAAGCAAGCATTGACTGCCTACCATTGGATCCCCATGGCAGATGGCAAGTGTGGCTCCTGCAACAACACATTTCTTTATGTCAGTCTTGTTCCCCTCTCTCTCTCCAGCCAGTGGAATAATGAAAAGCCCAATTCTGGTCATGGCTAACTCAATCTCATTATAATCTCTCCTTTTTTATTCATTCAGCCCCTTGGGATGCTGTCTGCCAGCGATGTGGCTTTCAACCGCCACAGAGAACATCTTTTGAAACAGCCAGGAGACCTAATGAAGTCACAGAGTGGCACAATTATTTCCCAAAGAAGGAGCATTAATGTACTTCAAAATTCCCTCTGGAGAAGCATGATGACAATTGGTTTGTACAGCTTTGATCGCTGCTTTAAATTCTGCCCAAGATAAACTGCAGGGTTAGCCCCCTTTGCCACTGGTAAGTAGAAAGCCCAGGAGTGGCTATCAAGCACGAGCTACATCAAATATTCAGCCTGTGACGCTAAAATCTGGAGTTTAAAATAGCACATAGCCCTAAAATTACTTACTGTTGGGAATAATGGTGCAAAGTGACACTGTAACATGTATCTTTTACCCAAAAGATTTGCAACATGTTTTGTCAAACATGTCAAATGAAATTGGATTGTCTTGTGGGCAGGGAAGTATCACACAACTTTAATCAGCTGAAAGGGACAGAGCTGTGCTCTGTAATCACAGCTTATCAGATACTGTATGTTCCCGTGAAATGAAACTGAGTTAGACTATAATATAAGTTTTTACCTACAGTATTGTTCGGGTTTGTTTATGCTACCACTTACAGGGCCACGGTCACAACTGTAGGCAGTGAAGTAAGCACAGAGAGGCACTTCTGTTGTTATTCAAGCTTCTCTACACTGTTGTCAAAAACAGGTCCTTAAATTAGCCCCGCTTGCCACCGAGCAGGTGTTGGCTGTCGACCAAAGAGGTTGTGTTCTTTTGTGCATAGTGGGTCAATGAACGAGCAAAAACCGAGGTTAACATTGGTTTAGCACTTTGTGTTTCAGCAGTAACCAGTGTTCTACTGGACTGTTGAATGCTCTTCCTAGTCGGTTAACAGGGCAAAGAATGGTCTGAGCAGCTTATGGTGTCAGTTTGGTTCGAGTCCCACTCAACCCTCTAGCTGAAAAACACTGTTCCATCTTTACACCAACCTTCATTTATGTAGAAGCAGATTCCGCTTCCTCTCATTTTTCCAAATAACTCCATTACGTGATCTGCTCTGTATACCTGGAACCCTGGGACTGGTATTGCGCTGTCTGAGATAGAGTCGCTGAGCCAAGTCTCCAATATGCATAGAGCAGCAGAGCGTGAGAAGTCAGAGTTAGTCTGGGTGACGAGAAGGAGTTCATTCATTTGTTGGCTAGAGAGTGGAGATTCACTCAATGGATAGACGGGAGCGGGCCCAGGTCCCTCTCAGTCCTAACTTAACCAGTGCCCCTGCTCTCTTCCCTCACCGGCGTTTTCTCCAAGTCCCGTAGAGGGCCGTTACCCCTCCGACCAGAATGTCTGCACAACTTTCTGCATCAGCAAAAATCAAAGAAAAGGTGTTCAGAGTGAGTTGTTTGATGTTTACTAGCTCTTATCTGGTGAAGGTAATCCGGGATGGCTTGCAGAACATCAAGAAAACAACAAGCATATGAAAGAGCTGCACAATCGAGGCAGCCATACATGACGCCATGATACATAATAAATACAGTATTAATGTTTTTCTTTCCTATATTGAACTTTAAAGAAAAATAAAGTATTAATCAAACTTATGAAGCGTGAGCTGAGGTTTGTGACAATGATACATATTTATGATGCGTACGCAGAACACACACACACATACACACAATTAAATAAATAAGAAATAATTATCCTGGGCAGAAGACAACATGCTAATCTCCCTGCTGGGACAATTGAACAGCTGTAAAGTAAAAAGTAAAATCTTTTTTACTATAAGTGCACCATCAGTTCAAAATGATATGCCATCTTTGCACATTTGCCCCTTTTTCTGTTTGAAAATATGGAACCGCCTCTGCTAATTTGTTAAAAACAGCACAAAGTTTGCACAGTTTTATGGAAGACAGTCTATGGACATGGAGTGTGTATGTTATTAAAGAAACACTACATCCCTGTGTAGTATGAATACTGACCATAATGTCACTAATTGCAACACATTCTTGCTCATGAGAGAAAAAAATCAACAATCTTTGCTCCAAGCCTCTAGGAATCCAGAGAAAAAATAAACCTAAACAATATGTTCTACAGGTCTAACCACATACATATTAACACCACCAAAACCAAAGAGATGGTAGTAGACTTCCAGAGGCCCTAACCCCACCTGAAGCTGGTGTCCATTAAGGGGGTCTGTGTGGAGGTCATCCAGACCGAGAAATACCTGGGTCTGCATGTGGGTGACAAACTGGACTGACCCACCAAACATAGATGGAAAGGACAGAGCCAGCTGTACTTTATGAGGAGGCTGGGGTCCTTAGACATCTACAAGAAGCTGCTTCACATGTTCTACCAGTCTGTCATTGCCAGTGTCTTTCTCTATGCTGTAGTGTGCTGGGGAGGCAGCATTAAAAAGAGAGATGTCTCACGGCTAGACAAGCTGGTGAGAAAAGCTGGCTCTCTAGTGGGTACAGAGCTGGACTCCCTTACATCTGTAGTGGATAAGAGGACCCACAGTTGGCTGCTGTCCATCCTGGACAATGTTCACCACCCTCTGCACAGCACCATCGCCAGGCAGAGGAGTTCATTCAGCAGTAGGCTGTTGTTTCTCTCCTGCTCCACAGTCTAAAGAAGCCATTTGTCCCTCGGGCCGTAGGACTCTTCAACTCCTCCCAGTGAGGAGGCCTGATCTGGACTTTTGGACATGGACGTGTGATGTCACTACTCAGCTGCATAATATTATGATCCCACTATGACACTATACTACTGCACTGCGCACTGCGTTTACCCTTGTTTGTACCTGTGCACATAATGCTCATTCATGCACATACTAGCATTTGTTTTTATCCTTGCACAGTGTTCAGTCCTGCACATATTGGTATTGTGCACAGGTACCCCATGCACATTTACTTATTATATATACCCTCTGTATACTGTACACCTGGCACGTCAATCAATATGTATACATATAGAGACTCGATATGTTATGTTTCTCTCTCGCTCTCTCTCTCTCTCTCTCTCTCTCGATAGATAGATAGATAGACAGATAGATAGATAGATAGATAGATACAGTGGGTACGGAAAGTATTCAGACCCCCTTAAATTTTTCACTCTTTGTTATATTGCAGCCATATGCTAAAATCATTTAAGTTCATTTTTTCCCTCATTAATGTACACACAGCACCCCATATTGACAGAAAAACACAGAATTTTTGACATTTTTGCAGATTTATTAAAAAAGAAAAACTGAAATATCACATGGTCATAAGTATTCAGACCCTTTGCTGTGACACTCATATATTTAACTTAGGTGCTGCCCATTTTTTCTGATCATCCCTGAGATGGTTCTACACCTTCATTTGAGTCCAGCGGTGTTTGATTATACTGATTGGACGTGATTAGGAAAGCCACACACCTGTCTATACAAGACCCTACAGCTCACAGTGCATGTCAGAGCAAATGAGAATCATGAGGTCAAAGGAACTGCCTGAAGAGCTCAGAGACAGAATTGTGGCAAGGCACAGATCTGGCCAAGGTTACAAAAAAAAATTTCTGCTGCACTTAAGGTTCCCAAGAGCACAGTGGCCTCCATAATCCTTAAATGGAAGACGTTTGGGACGACCACAGCCCTTCCTAGAGCTGGCCGTCCGGCCAAACTGAGCTATCGGGGGAGAAGAGCCTTGGTGAGAGAGGTACAGAAGAACCCAAAGATGACTGTGGCTGAGCTCCAGAGATGCAGTCGGGAGATGGGAGAAAGTTGTAAAAAGTCAACCATCACTGCAGCCCTCCACCAGTCGGGGCTTTAGGGCAGAGTGCCCCGACGGAAGCCTCTCCTCAGTGCAAGACACATGAAAGCCTGCATGGAGTTTGCTAAAAAACACCTGAAGGACTCCAAGATGGTGAGAAATAAGATTCTCTGGTCTGATGAGACCAAGATAGAACTTTTTGGCCTTAATTCTAAGCGGTATGTGTGGAGAAAACCAGGCACTGCTCATCACCTGTCCAATACAGTCCCAACAGTGAAGCATGGTGGTGGCAGCATCATGCTATGGGGGTGTTTTTCAGCTGCAGGGACAGGACGACTGGTTGCAATCGAGGGAAGGATGAATGCGGCCAAGTACAGGGATATCCTGGACGAAAACCTTCTCCAGAGTGCTCAGGACCTCAGACTGGGCCAAAGGTTCACCTTCCAACAAGACAATGACCCTAAGCACACAGCTAAAATAACGAAGGAGTGGCTTCACAACAACTCCATGACTGTTCTTGAATGGCCCAGCCAGAGCCCTGACTTAAACCCAATTGAGCATCTCTGGAGAGACCTGAAAATGGCTGTCCACCAACGTTTACCATCCAACCTGACAGAACTGGAGAGGATCTGCAAGGAGGAATGGCAGAGGATCCCCAAATGCAGGTGTGAAAAACTTGTTGCATCATTCCCAAAAAGACTCATGGCTGTATTAGCTCAAAAGGGTGCTTCTACTAAATACTGAGCAAAGGGTCTGAATACTTATGACCATGTGATATTTCAGTTTTTCTTTTTTAATAAATCTGCAAAAATGTCAAAAATTCTATGTTTTTCTGTCAATATGGGGTGCTGTGTGTACATTAATGAGGAAAAAAATGAACTTAAATGATTTTAGCATATGGCTGCAATATAACAAAGAGTGAAAAATTTAAGGGGGTCTGAATACTTTCCGTACCCACTGTAGATAGATAGATAGATAGATAGATAGATGACTGACCTAGGTAAGCAGTTACTGGATACCTGAATGGAAAAGTTGGACACGGAGTGCTTGTGTATACGTCGTTGTTAGTGCATGTGATGGTTACGGAGGGCCACACCACTCTCAGGCACTGGCAGACTCCCAGCAGGGATAGAAGAAACAGGCAAAAGAGAAGGGGCATAGTTCAGGTCAGATCCTGCTCCTGAATTTCAGATAATTGCATTATCTCCATTAGATTCATTGCCATACATCCAATGGTTGTTAAGATACTTCACTCAAAGCAATGAGATATCAGTCACCCAAGAAACAAGATTTAGCCTCTGGGGACATCAACGCAATGAGAATCCATTCAGTATTTGTCAAGTTATTTTTAGTCTAAACCAAAATGATGAACCAATGTCAACCTATTAAATATAACACACAACATTAGGGAAGCTACCAACCAGTTAACCTTCATGGAAGTGTTTCTAACTACAGCATATGAACAGTCACTGCATGTACTGTACTGCCATTGGTTATATCAATTTTTAATTTTTAATAAATTAATATCCCCCAGGATCAATAAAGCATCTATCTACTGTTTCCATCTTATATGTGGAAAGTTTACTTGTCATAACTAAAGATTTTTCCATCACAAAAAGACGATGTCATGGCTGTAAAGGGAGCCAGATTTCAGAAATGACACTGATGGCTGAAGGTCAAGCAGAAGAACAAACAATGACAGAACAAGTCATTCTAACATTATGCAGCATCTTGAATGTCACTTTGATTAAGAGAGTTTCTATCCAATGCAGACTCAAAGAGGTGAAATCCTACAGAGCATCTGCAAACTAATGACAGTCCCATGTCCTGTACACTGCTTAGCACAAGCACAATTTCATTTTATGTCCAGGAAAATAAGACAAGAACTTAATTCAAATGCCCAGTTTCTCATAAAAAGTGAGAAGGATATTGAGAAATGTTTCTTTTTAAAATGAGAAAGGTTTCTGCTTTTGGCACAAAAAGTTACATATTTTCACTTTATAATGTAACACTTTGCCATTATAACGAAATGCTTTGTCATAATGACAAGGCACTTCTTATGATGACTAACACATGAAAACATGTATATATTTTTTACCAGTAGCAGTTCTGCACTCTCAGACCAGATTATAGTGAAGCCTTGTTGCTGCCCATACTGCCACTGTTGTGCCTAAGTAACTTACTGTATATAGCCGGCAGTAAAGAGAAATCCTATAATTTGTATAAGTGTATCTGACAAGGCAAACCATAGCAATAATTTTTTGCTGATATATACATTATTATTAATATATGCTGTTGAAAACAATCTGGTTTAATTGTTATATACTCCTATAAACCGTTGCAGATTAAAATAATGTATTAACCATACTGTACATAGTGGGCGATCCAGAGTGATGCAATTCTACATAAGGTTTGGCTGTCTACGAGACATGCTTATTTCTATTTTGTGATGAAGACCCAAAACCTCCACCATCCCTGTCCCTGCATGGGGCACGCTGGTGTGCAGAAGGTGCCTCTGTAAATGCCTGATCCAATCCTCCTGGACAGACAGGGGACCCTGAAAGACTAGGTCACAGAACCTGCAAAGATAAATTGAAAAAAACAATTTATCTGTAGCCATTTTCTACCTTGTATCAAGATCTCCACCACCCATTTAGCCTACAGTGCTCACAAATGTTCTATTGAACTGAGGTCAGGGCTTTGTCATGGCCACTCCAATAATTTAGTTGTCCTTAAGTCATTGACTTTGTTGTCCTTAAATCATTTTGCCACGACTTTGGAAGTCTGCTTGGGGTCATTGTCCATTTGGACAAGACCCATTTGTGACCAAGCTTTTACTTCCCGGTTGATGTCTTGAGATGTTGCTTCAATATATCCACATAATCTTCCTTCCTCATGATGCCATCTATTTTGTGAAGTGCCCCCCCCCCTTTTTTTTTATCTGTAAACAAGTGTTGGAAAAAAATACCTGTGTCATGCATAAAGTACATGTCCTAACTGACTTGGCAAAAAGAGCATTTGTTAACATAACATCTGTGGAGTGGTTAAAAAGACAGTATATACCTGTATATAGATAGATAGATAGATAGATAGATAGATAGATAGATAGACAGAGCAGCTATTGGTGCTGCATATGATGTAGCTGAGTAGAGATCTCTCACTTTGCTCTTTACTCAAACAGAGAGCCATACAGATTAAATATGTAATCTTTCATTTCAATGTACCTGCAGGTGAGTGTGTATATCTCCGCACTCAAGGAAGGTAAAATCTTCTGTTTTAGCCCAGGCCTTGGTCTTGGCTTCTTCAGTTTATAATCATAGCCTAAAAGACAAAACACTACACTGCTTTATCTGAGGGAATGTATTATGTTATCATTGACAGGCGCCATAAATAATTAATTCCAAAGCCAAAAATCTACATCTATTTTTTTATTTCATAAGGCATTTCTACCAATGCATCATTCTGTGCAAATATCTGGTTTCTTCTTAATTTGATTCTACAGATTGAACTTGATTTATGTTGTTTCTACATTTAAACAACACTTGTTATTGCATGGCACAAGAAACATATGTTGAAATTTTGCTGTTATTGTCAGAAACTTACCTAGTTCTTCCAAAACAGCAACTCTCTTGCTGCATGCGTAGGCTTGACAGTGACCAGGCAGACTCACAGCAGCGGGGAAGGTGCTGTTATACTGAATACAAATCCCATTTGAATCATATTTCTCTGAAAGATAGAACATCAGGAAAAGTGAGATTGATCAAAAATGTAGTTTAAAATTGTATGATTAAATTGTGCATTTGCTTAATCCTGAATTAATTCATTTCAGTATAATTTAGTTCATACTTATGTCTCAAATCCAGGATTAGGATCATCAGAGGTCTGGTTGTATTTAAAGAGAATAGCACTGTAGCATCATGTCAGAGTTCATGCAATAATTTTATTATCAATAAAACTGTTACTCCCAGCGTGAGCTAATGCTTCTTCCACCTGGTTTCCTTCTAAGCATATGATTTGCACTCTTCTGTTTGAAAAGTGTTACTGGTAAAGTTTAACACAATCGTGTGTCTTCAGGGGGGTTATTTTCACATACACTACCCTACCTCTTGAGAGTCACAGAGTATTCATAAACTACACAAAAAATAACAGATCTGTTAGTCCTATAACGGAAAACTGTCAATGATCCTGCTGTGTGCCTTTGCCTTTTAATAGATAGTCAGAAGTGGGATGCTTAAGAAGTTATCCCAAAAGATCTTCTAAAATTAAAAATAGCCTGATTTTACTTTTCAAAGTAATTTTAGCTTGAAGAAAAAAAAAAGCCTCCCAAGTCAAAACATCTTTGCAGAAAAAAGATAAATATTGATTTTCTGTGTTAACTAATGTGTAAATTGGCTTGATGACACTATCAGCCACAGCTCAGTGATGAAAATGCACTGCTATTAACAAGCAAAGATATATTATCATTTTTAGGGGAGGGCACACAGCAGATGGACATCTTTGGGAGGACACTGCAGTTGTCACTGTAAAGCCATGAGAATGACAAGTACCATTCAGTTTAAAAGACAGTACAGCAAAGTGGAATTTGATTTTAAATATTTAGCAAACTCTTTGTGGTACCTGATTGAGAGTTTGATTTAGACAGCATGGGCAGAGACACAGGGTGGCCAGGGGTGGCACTGGCCACCTCTGGTGCCAAGCCTGCCAGAGTCAAAATGTGATGTGTCAGTGTTAATGAATATAAAATGAAAAACAATGGAAAATTGTACAACTAACATTTTCCTGGTGCTTCATAATTGATATTGGTCAGATTAGTTTTATTTTATATCATGCATGCAGCATGATATTTGCATTCATTTCTCTGACTGTGTTGTTGTGGAGCACTTGGCATGATTCGCCTCAGTGGGGGGAAACCACCACACAGCAGCAATGTCCCTGACCAGGAGTAAATAAGGAGTGCCGCACAAGTTAGTTAAAGGAAGCACTATGTGTTTCTCGTTTCTATACAAAATAAACAAGTTTAATCTTAATCATGTATTGTTTATTATTTCAGAACTAGCAGTTTAATTAAATGTTTTTATGTATTTCAAATATGCCACCCCTCTCTGAATCTGTGCCCCAGCCTGGCCACCGCATCCAAATTTTTCTACAACATGAATAATAAGCGTCAAACTCAACAGCAAGAGGATCTTATGATTTTTTGATATGAACTTCAAACTAATTTTGATGGCATTAAATGTGTTATTTCCTCAAATCAAATGATTGTGAACAATTTTCATACTGTTTAGTGTCCACCTATAGTATACAGATTATCTGTATTGTGATACTGTTAATTTGTGATTGATTTTATACTCAGTACTAAATTTCTTTTAACTTTATGCACTGCCAAAGGAAATATTTATGTCAAAAATTCTAGTCCCAAAATATTGATATGGATCTAAACACGCCACTATTTAAACCACAGACAGGAGCTCAGTAATATACAGTTACATGACTGTAAAATCAGTAGTGTATTTAAAGATATAATGCCCCATCTAGTAATACCAATATTATTGTAATCATATCCTAAGGGAGCTTTCCCTTTAATTAGGTTAACCTGAATTAAAATGGTAGTGTACCATCACATTATGCAAAACTGCAAAACATGATTCTTTTTATATAACACTGTATAATGTACATACACAATGTAACTGGAACAATATACAAGTTCTATTCCTTCGCCAAGTGCCATTGGATACTGACCATAACCAAGGCCCGTTTATGAGGGCTATCTGTGCATTTCTTATGAAGTCCCAATACAGATGAATAATATCATAGCAAGAACAAAACATGTTTCCTACATTTCCTACATAAAAATCAAAGGTGAGGGTCATGCCCTGAAACACATCTTACAATATGTCTTATGGGTGTCTGTGTCAAACATCTACAATTAAAGTATAATTTAACAAACCTCTGGCCACTGTTCAAGTTTTTTTAAGATGTATTTGCTACTGTACTGTGACTCCTAAACATGAAATTCCACTTGCAGAGACTTGAAATTTACCAGTGATGCTTTAGAAATAATGTTGGTACTGTACTTATATAATACTGTTAATAGGATAAAACATGCAAAAACTGTTTTATGACCTTCTAAGATACTGAACATGAAATTGCAATCAAACATAGCATAAGGCTACATACTGTGAGTCCACTGTGTTGCCACACTGCTCATTTGTATCTCCTCCTTGTATTCTTTGGCCATATCACAGAACTTCCTGGTTGCATAGGCTTCCTGGTTGTTTCTTACTGTAAGCTCCACATCTTCCTCTCTTGTCTGGAACAGTTCAACTAAAGTGCCCAAAGAGGCTTTGGTGCCACTTAGTGCCTCTACTTTAAGCTTCTTCCTCTCTGAGAAAGCCCCTACTTCCTGTTTTGGTACCAAGCTATCCAGTATGGGATATGGAATCCTCATCCCATACTGAATTTTTACTGGGATTCCAGTTTTCATCAGAAACAAGCCATTGCTGCTGATAAATTTCTGAGAGACAAAAGGTTGTGGAGGAAACCGGCTCTTCTTAAGGAGTTGGAGGATGTTCCGATGCTCTCTTTCGTCCTGTAGCAGTTCATTTAGGATGCACAGTGGTGACTTACTGGAGCTGCTAACACTTCTGCCTATTCGTTTCAAGTGTCCCCTCACATGGTTGGAGAGGCCAGTCTTAGTATCAAACCAACCCCAACACAGGGGACATGTGTGCTCTCCTTGGGTCTCTGGCTTGGCAGCTGTAATATCACAGTAAAAATGAAATGAGAGAACAGAAATTCCAAAATAGCATTTACTGGACAAGCCCAAATCAGAAGATGTTGGGACAGTATGTACAATCAAAATTAAAACTGAAAGTAGTGATGTGTAAATCATCTGTGTCCTGAAACACAACAGTGTTTAGCTGCTATATACAGTAATTGGCCAAGGATCACAGTGGCTATGAAGCTTTATGTTTCACTTTTCAAACTACAAGGGAAAGGCATTTAGAAAGAGCAACAAGGGAAAGGCATTTAGAAAGAGCACTAACCAATGTGCTTGGTGAACACAACATGCGACCCAACCAGTCACAGCTGTTGTTATCTGTGTCTCCATGATGTGCAGTTACATCTCTGGATGTCAGGCTACTGCTTAGGCTATGACATGGGGGATGGGGCTATGCATTATCTACATCATACCTATGGTGCAGATTCGATGCAGAACCATAAATCAAGCTTAAACTTCACTGAATCTAATCTACCAATGTTAGCCTACAGTCTAATGCAATAGCATCCAGAGCCTGCTCCCATATAATGGTGAAATCTTCCTTATTTCCTTTGCTTTATAAAAGAAAAATACGTGTGTGGAGTTGTTTACTTGTCTGTTGTGTTGGTTGAAATAGAACTTGTACCTTTTCTCATTTTCTTTGTGCCAGCAGAGATCCTTCTGCGTATTTGGAGCTGATTGTCCCGCAACGCCACTTGTGCTGGTGAAACCATGTGCCGGGCATTATAGCTCAGGCCAACTCGATGAAGGTGCCCTCGCACATGATTAGACAGACCCACCCCAGACTCAAACACTGCAGGGCAGTATGGACAGGGCTTGTGTTCTGCCACTTGTGTGGGGAAAACATCAAAGTTGTTACTTGTAGCCACACAAGGAGATTCTGGGGAATCATCGCACGCTGTAGCGTCGATGTACTCCTCCTTGATTATGAGTTGCTCTATGTCACTGCAGTCTTCTTCTCCACCATCTTCATCCTGGAGTGCAGGAGGGTTTGGGTCTTTGTCAGAAAACCTCTGCCTCTTTCTGAAATACCTCCGGGCATAAGGATTCCTTTCATTCTTGGTGCTTTCCAAGGAACTGACTGGAGCTTCACTGTTGTCCTTACTGAAGTTACTGCTACCCTCACAGCCTTGCTCAAACTCCATAACTGTAGACTGTTTCTGAAGCCTCTGGCTAAGCTTTGGCAATATATTATCATTCAGATTGCCAATAGTGTTGTGCAAAGGTGTTGGCATTTTACTCACTGATGGGGAATGTTGGTTTGTTTGCACTTGTAAACTCTCACTTGCAGGGCCATTCTCGCGGCCCTGACAGAACATCTGGTCTAATTTAAGATTTCTGGCTGATAGTAAAAAATCAGTGGTTGCAGCACAGTTTGCCTGCTTTAAGCTGCCAAAAGCCTTGCAGTCACTGTTTTCAGTGTCTCCTTCCACACAGGTGAGATCGGTTGCCACATCGAGGTTTTCTACTGGTTGTAGGAGTAATTTTCCATGCTTGTCAATCGTCCACAAAGACGACAGCATGTTTTTGGTGCAACCAACATGGTACTCGAACAGAGGAGAATTTACAGTTTTGTCACTGGACTTGTGAATATAAGTGTCCTCTAATTTATTGGTGCTGTGGGGGAGATGGGCTGTTTCTCTAAGAGCAGACTTAAATGTGCTCGGCTTACACCTAGCAATTTTTGGCTGGCCAGCAATTATTTTAAAATGACCATAATGTGGTCGCTGATTTTCCAGCTCAGAACATCTTCCCAATACTACTTGGTCTCTGCTAGAGAAAAAACCCATTTCACACTGAAGCCGAACGTGGTCTGCTTCCTCTGCATCATTAGTATGAGTCATTTTCCTGTTTTGAGGCTGGTATGTGGTGAGGTGTGCAACCTGCAAGTGTGCTTCAAGTGCCTGCTGTGTCAGGGTAATGTAGTTACACTCTTCACAGAAGTAGTAGTGCTTCAGATTATCTTGTGTTTTGGCGTGCTGGACAAAGATTTTCTGGGAATTACAACCAAGTACACACTGAGGGCGCTGTACTGTGGTGGGCCTGTCTTCAAATTCAGTCTTTTTGAGACCATTGATTTCCTCCACAGGTTTTTCAAGCCTGTCTTGGTGAATAATGATGTGCCTCATGAGGGAGTAGCTATCACAGAACACACGCCCACACTCCCTGCATAAAAAGGGCTGCGAAACATTCTCGCTGTTCACCTGATTATGCTTGCCTAAATGATACATCATATGTCTGTGGAAATGCCTTTTTTCTTTGAAACTAACATTACATATTGTGCATGAAAAGAAAAGTGGATCTTGTTCCAGCTGCTCTGTATTCAGCTGATCCACTTTTGGACTAAAATTGTCTTCATGTTCAGGGTCATTTTCATTACACCCTTCCTGTGTTGTGCTAGAAATATGGTACCCAAAGTCTAAAGCTGTGTTCTTAGGAAGATCTTTGAATGGTGCAACAGAATATTTAATATCAGTCTGTGTACTTAAAGAGCCATCCTTGTTGGCAATGTCAACATTTTCACCATCATCACTACTGCAGAAATGTCTGTATGTGCAATACAAGCTGTTGTTACCCTTTTCTAGGGAGCCTGACGCTCTTTTTACATGTGCATAGCGCTTCCTGTCTGTTTGGTGCATCACTTCGGTCTCCAGCCTTCTGCCATTGTGCAAGAAATGCTCTCTTGCTACCTCCCATCTGATTACCTCAGCATCATCATATTCATCCGAGGAGCTCTCTGACCATTCTATGTTCCGTCGAGATCTTGCTTTTATTGTCTGCTTTGTTGAAGGTTGGCTAATGTGCATTTGCTCTGCACTGTCACCTGACAGTGTGGAAAAGGCCAGTTTAGACTCATTCTCCTCCGAGTGAGACAGTGGCGTGTTGACACATGGCTGTGTGGCCAGTGTTTTTACGGCGGGCCCCGCTGTGCTCCTCCAAGCGTCTGATTGAAGCTCACTAGGTGGTTGTAACACCTCAGGGCTCGTGTCCTTCTCCGCCTGCCACACGGCATCCAGGACATTGTTGGATAAAACAGTGCCTTTGTTCAGGACACAGTGTACCTCTGAGGTGGGGTGTGAACCAGGTCCATTAACAAGTGCTCCTGAAGGCAATGAATTGCCTGCATGGGGAACAGCAGGGACACTGCTGTATACAAATGGATTCGGCTGGGTTCCATTTAAAGGGTTTTCATGTTCATCTGAGGACAGACCTGCAGCATTGTTCTTCAGGGAGAAAGTGTGACTCTGTAATGGCTCCTGAGTACGACCCGGGCTGTCAGACGACGTTTCTGCATCTTTGTCCTCTTGTGCATTTGGCTTCAGATCAGACATAGTAGCAGCAGTACTTTCTGAAATATAAAAGAACATCACAACATTATTAAGTGTATCCTAAAACGCGCTGTCTAACAAGCACAGAATTTCCTCTGTTCTTTATTTACTGTCTTCTTTAGTGCCATATTCAATCATCTGAAGAAAATTGGCAAAAGAAGTAATGCAGATGAAAATTACAAAATGAAACACTATACAACAGGTACAATAAAATCGAGTTCTGTTTTCTCATTCACGCTGACAATGTGGTTCTGTTAAAAAAAATTAGTTTTTGGGCTATTCCCACTGCTCCATAAAATGAGAGTGGTATTATTCTGTGCCACATTATGATTTTCCAACACCCGCTTTCGCCACCTCTATTCACAACAAACCCTGCTGTTAGCCCTGAATACCCTGGCGAGGATGCTTAATTATGTGAGCGTACCTCTGGGGTACAACCTTCCTGCTTCTCCACCTAAAGTTCTCAGTCGTCTGCTAAAATTGACCAATTTCCATGGGAACAAAGTACACCTCCAATGAGATCATAATACGTCTTATCACTCTGTGATGGTGTCAACACAGATCCCAGCATGAGACTGTTGTTACTTGAATCCTGACAAATTGGCAGGCACACAATCTGTCTAAAACACAAACACAGACCCACACAAAGACAACATTGCACATACACATGGACAGGCGTGATTCTTTTAAAAGTGGCTGAATTTAAGGAACGCTAAGTTTTTTATCTGGACAAACATATTCATTTGGTGGTTTTGCATTAATAACTAGCATCATAATCAGCATACATTTCAACCTGTGCATGCTACATTTTATCACTGATTACACTATGCTGTCCAAAACTGATTTAGTTTAAAATGTACAGTATGCTCGGTGGATTTGACATCCAGGGCTGGTCGCTCTCTACAGGAAGCTGCATTGCTAACGAAGTGGTAAATTCAGTGTTAATGAGTGGCTTCACTGTTACCACCTCAGAGGTAAAACCTTCCGAGCTCCATATTCTCCCCATCTGTTGTGGTGTTAGAGGTTCGAAGAGGGAACAGACGCTCTAAATTTGAAGCGAACTTCAGTGTTACCCCCAAACGGCAGGGTGGCAAAACCATCAAAATATCTTGGTTCAAAATGTGCAAGCCTCATTAGCAGCCAACTCACGCAACTGGCTTCTATATAAAATGAACAGAGGTTCAACAGAAATGTTTGGTTTTTTTATTTGCTTCTATTTACTTAAGCTTAGTTAATGCTCAAAGGCTGACTTTGCCTTGCCTGAAGATATTTACAGGCATTGTTTATTACAGTTAAGCTGTATGCACAGATCAGTCTGCTATGAGCTTTACCTCACCCTGTCTGGATTGTTTCCCCAAGATACATGCCTCATTTTTCGTTTCATTGTTACGTGCCTCAGTTTGATAAATTAGATTTACAATGAGCATCATCACCAGGCAATAAAAAGGCAAACTAAGACACCTTTCAGTTTCATATTGAGCAGTCATCATATATATATCTTCCAGGACCTGAAGTTTCTATTTTGTATCTTGAAATGAGATTGAAAAATCCTCTTTGGAAAATGTAATATACTGTGTTGTTACACATAAATCTCTGGTGTTATTAGGCAGATGTGCACAATGTGATGTACTGTATATAACAATCCTACTTTTTTGAGCTTATATGGTTATAGTACAGTAAGAGGTGCTTCTAATACTCTGCTCTGAGTGGGCAAAATATTCCAAACAACCAGTCCAGGTGGCTACTTTATTAGATACATCTTTATAATCTTTGCAACATAACATCAGTTCTACCATAAATTTTAAAAGTTCTAACATTTAGTCAAAGAGGTTTTATTGTTTAGGGTGTGGTTAGTGCTGGTGTTGTACTGCAGAGCATTATACTGACAGGTGTTTCTAAAGTTCTGTCTAAATGAGGTGGAAAAAATCTAGAAACACATCTCAATACGCAGTAATGTAGTCCAGTACCGAACCAGTACCTATGACATGGTGCTAATTCAAACAAAACGCAATAAACTTTAAATAGGTAGGATGTATTGCAAGGATGCTGTAATGGATGGCACAAGAATGTAGAGGAACTAATAAACTGGAATATCCACATCCATTACAACAGAAGCTTTGATTTGTAGTTTACTAAGCGCAAAAATGGAACAGTTTCAGGTTATGAGTCAAACATGATCTCCTGCAGCCTGTTCTGAGAGCTGTTGGGCTGGGAAGCATGCCATGTCCTACTCTCATCAGTATGGCTTTGAATCTGGCTCACAAGCTCACCTCATATACAGTAATGCCAGATCTCTCTTCCTGTTATTTCCCACTAGGCACCTAACCCTAATACCTGAAAATGCCAAAACATTCTCATGTAATTTATTTTTTGCCTCATTAATGTATAAGTAGTAATACTACCTCATAATCTTTATTAAAGCAATATTAGTAGAATAGCAGGTGCATATTATTCGAAACAACATCGTGCTTCCATCACAACTGACATTAGTGCAGAGGCCAAGTGTTACTGACCTGTCAATGCATAAACTTTTTCACCCTCTTAGCTCCAAGGCATTGTAAACTGAATGCCGCTGGGTTTTGAACTGTTGGTTGGACAAACAGCTGAGCGCTGAAAACATTCTGAGAGGAATTCTTCACTATTTTCTTACAGCACTGAAAATAAACAACACAGTTATCAGATGTGAAAATGAATGTTATTTGCATCCTGACAGGAGACAAAGTCCTGTTGGCCGGTACAATGGACGTCCCAAAAACATAGTCACTGTGACATTTTTATCCTACTCTATCTTAGACGTTAATGCCAAAAACTAATACAAACCTTTAAGCCTAGTGGGACAACAATCTGATTGAGCCGGAGGATTTTGGCACTGTAGACTTGTGAGGTTGAAAATGTCTAAGTAAATTCCTTCTTCCTGTTCGACTGAAGACCCAGGCTGGCAGCGCAGTGGAGAGAGCACTAAAAACAAACTGGGACCAGTCAGCCAAACACTGTCAACTACTGGAGCTGTCTGTGTGGATCAAGAGGCAACCTTAATGTACAGTATATTCCTCTACCATTGCCTTTACTGTCTAAACAACAGGCTTGGGGGTGCCTCAACTACTGGACTACACAACTTCCTCAGCTAATGGGATCTATTGATTTATTTGACACAGTGTGAATTTATGAAGCAGCCTCTTTAGTGTGAGAGTATCAAAGTGTGGCTCAAAAACAGAGATTCAGCTTGACACTCCAGTAATTCCATGATGAGCATCATCTCTCAGCAAAGGTGCCACAGCGAAACACACACACACACTGTGAAGTTTTCTGCCATCTTCACCCTGCAGTTACCCATCGTATCAAAGAGAAATTACACCACAAAATTACACCAAACCTCCCTTTCCTATGACTATGTGACTAACTGGCTTGTTCAGAAGAAAAATGTGAAACTAAAACTTTAATTTCTTAAATTATCACATGAGAAAACATAGATCAAGTGACTTCACACAATGTCATTGTCTGGATTACATATTCTTTTATCCCCCTGGATTTCTGTCACCCAAAGGTCATTTCCATAAAAATGGTCTCCATTCTCCCTAATGGGATTTTGGCTGTAATTATGTATGCCAGCGTCTTGCACAGATGCTATCAGCCCTGTCATCCTGAATTGCACAAATGTAATTACACAAAGCCTTTGATAACTAAACAATGTAATTTACTGCTTGAGTGAAACTATACACTGGGGCTATATGACTCAAATTATACACTAAAGGAAAACCTATGAGGACCATACTGTATGTGTATGCTGCACAGAAACTGTTATTTAGAGTAAGAACAAATTAAATACTAATGCATGGTTTAATAATAAAAATATCAGCATGCATTCAAGAGATAGAAACAAGAAACAAATCACAGGTAATTATTACTAGAATTAGTGTCTTAAAAGAATGGTTTGACATTTTGGGGAAATAGTTGTATTCACTTTCTTGCCAAGCGTTAAAGAAAAGAGAGCAGCCAGTTAGCTTTGCTAAGAATAAGCACTGGAAATGCTGAACTAGCTGTGTCCAAGCAAAAAATCAAAATAATAAAACTAGAGCTTTAATAATGTTTCCAAAAATCTGTGAGGGTTATACATATGTACATAATTGAGAGCCAATAAGACATATGAACTTCCAAGTTATGTTCCTCAAATGAATCCCTTGGGAAAAATGAGAACCAGAACAACACAAAATGGGTCCTAAAAGCCTTGATCCATATCCGATCCAGATCATCTTTTAGAGTATGACAGGCACTTATACTGTGCATCTTACCTGGACATTTCAGGTGTTTTTCTTCATTATCAGCCAAGTTATGGCAGAAAATATGTGTTGAATAGGGTTTTCAATGTCAAATTTAAATGGCTGTCAGATACAGAATCTGGATCAGATCCACAAGAAATCTGGTCTGGTGATAGACACTACCACCCTACATACAGTATGTGTGTCCAATTTCCAACAAAAAATTATTTTGATGACGTTTGATTGAGATATGATTCTTTTTAATTTAGCTCCATGTTAAAGGTAGGTATTTTTGCGATTTTTTTTTGTGACCTCGACCTTTTACCCTTTTCAGCCAAACTCTCATCAGGTCTAGGGTTGGTCCCCACCAGTGTGCAGTGTACCAAGTAATCCTGCTAACCAACACACACAGAGAACCAAAAACATAACCTCCTTGGAGGTAATGACAGTTTTTTACCAGTGCTGCCATACTAGTAAACTTAGATGGGAGCTGTTTGTATGCTCACAGAGTTGTTTAACTTAGGTAAACCTATGAAAGTTTCTGTTTCCAATAACACACTCTGTGTTGAATAATAAATTGCATTTATTTCACAGAATGAGCTGGAAAAATATGCTAAATGAGAGGTTCCGTTCAGTTACAAAGGTTTGCTCAATTGTGACATCAAGACTTTAGCTCTCCAACTTATAATGCTATAGCAAGCAGCTGGCTAGCCAATAGTAGCTTAGCATTTGCTCTGGAACCATGTGTATTTTGGTACCTTCAG